GGTTTTGGGGGGTGGGGGGGGGTGGAGAGTGTGAAGAGTTCAGGAAGCTGGGCTTTTTTGGAACTTGAGGTCGGTTTTCAGAGTTTTTTTGCAATGGAGGTTTACGTAGGGTTTAGGGTTTAGGGTTTACGTAGACCCTGGAGGTTTTCGGAAAGGTAGCACCATTCTTTCATGACCTCGTCTCCAAGGACTCAGATTCTAAGGCTTTTGGGCCCCAAAGACCATACTATCTACGGCTTTTGGGCTATTTTCAGCGTTCGGGGAACTTCCTTGGGATGTAGCACGATCCTTTCATAACATAGTCTATGGCTAGGAAGTCAGGACCCTACAAAAGATAGATTATGAAAGATAATGGTACAAAGGTACTGCATTTGGGGGTTCTAAGCAAAGGATATAAAGGCTTTTAGGTCATTGGGGGTCGGAAGATGCAGAACTCTTCTTGGGCAGGGCATGCTATGGCAGGCAAATTGCATGATGACGTCTTAGTAAAGCAACCCCAGCAAGACCTGAAACGTTGTCTGCTTGTGTAAAGGGCAAGCCCTGAGCCAGCACATTAGCTGAAGGAACTGAGGTCAATGATCAGTGTAATGGTGAAGGTAGACAGGGGTCTTGCCCTCATGAAAAGGGTAGGCGGCTCTCAAATAAGAGCCACCTGGAGGGCCCACAAAATCGTCAGCTACGATGAAGAAGGGGCATCCGGACCTAGAAAAATCTGCTTCCTATCGCATCACCCACTTTTCAGCCCTAACCCCTAAACCCTAAACCCCTAAACCTTAAACCCTATAAACCCTCAATCCGAAGCCGCCAGGTCACTGTAATGACGACGTTGTAGTCGATGACGCTCGTATCCAGACGCACATCTCGGGCAGTTGAAAGCCTTTCCAAGCCAGGAAGGCAGAAGCTACAGTGGGTCCCTCTACCCCCTCAGCTACCCTCCACCATACCGTGGATGCCTAATAGCAGTATGGCGGGTACGGCATATTGCGGGATCAATCTATAGGGTACCTTGCATGACAAGTTCCTCAAGCCAATAACATGACACGGTCCTCAAGCTAATAAGACCCCTTCAGTGCTCAACCAACGAGACCCGGCATTTGAGCACGATCGCCGCTGTTTGGAACGCCTCCGACACAAGTTTGGCCCATCCCTGCCCATAAGCTCCTTAGTAGTTCCTTTTTGTGGCTTCTATTTAGGATCCCAGAAGGTAATCCCAAAAAGGAACGAGTAAGGAGCCTATGCCTTAAGGACGAAATGACCCTTAAAAGTAGGGGCCCTATACTCGTATACTGTGAATTCCTATATACGGTATATGAACCTTAAACCCTTTTAGGGTTCATTTCGTCCTTAAGGTGGGTGATGCCGAATTTCGACGTGGACACAAATGGGGGAAGCCTTGAGGATCGTGTAAACCCTGAACACCGGACCCGATAGGGTTTAGGGTTTAGGGCTTTGGGTTTAGGGTGTAGGGCTTTGGGTTTAGGGTTTAGGGCTTAGGGTTTATATAGACCGAAATGTTGCTATGAACAAGGTGCAACATCCAGCTGCAAAGCCCAAAACCCGTAGCGTGCATCGTTGAGGGTCCTCAACTCCTACACTATCAAAACCCCCCAAACAAAAATTAAACCCTAAACCCTAAACACCCCAAACGAGAATTACATATGGCCATGCAGCAAGTTCAAGACTTGATTCCACTCGTCGCCATGCTGTGCGACAACGGCATAGCCACGCATGTAGGGCAGCCATGGCTCGCTTCTAAGACGGTGTTGATATGGATGTCATATCGGGTAATGAGGGGTATATCGGGCTGCGTGAAGGATTTACATGGCTGTTGATCTGAATTATGGCTCGAGGAGCTTTATATCAACTACCACATACCCCAAGGGTCCAAAGGACCCAAGAATTAGGTACTCGAGTTTGAGATGTTAGTTATGTAGGTTACTATTTTGGAGAGTATATTATCATTAGATACTTGGACCCTTACTTGGAGGCCCAGGGGACTTAGTAAGTCGGTTATAAGTAGGGTTATAATTGGGTTAACTCCATTTAGGGTACATATAACTCACTTATGACCTACTTGCTAAGTCCCCTGGGCCTCCAAGTAAAGCTAAACCCCCTAAGCCCTAAGCCCTAAACCCTTCAACCCTAACCCCTAACCCCTAAACCCCTAAAAAGGGCACAGATTCTTGGGAGCAGTGTTTGGAGCCCTAAACCCTAACCCTAAACCCTAAACCTTAAACCCTAAATCCTAAACCCTAAACTCTTGGGAACAGTGTTTGGAGCTCAATGTGCAGACCTCTCTTTGAGAATCGTGGCATCGGGGCTTCGGACTGAGGAGCTTACAGGTCATTGTTTTAGGGTTTTTAGGGTTTGAGGTTTAGGGTTTAGGGTTTCAGGTTTCGGGTTTAGGGCTTGAGGTTTAGGGTTTCAGGTTTATGATGTTTAGGGTTTAGGGTTTAAGGTTTAGGGTTTAAGGTTTAGGGTTTAGGGTTTAGGGTTTCAGGTTTCGGGTTTAAGGTTTATAATGCTTAGGGTTTAGGGTTTAAGGTTTAGGGTTTAAGGTTTATGATGTTTAGGGTTTAGGGTTTAAGGTTTAGGGTTTAGGGTTTAAAGAGTGTTGGTTTGCGGATTTAGGCCCAGGATTTTAGGCTAAGGGCTTCTAACTGTCGGGATTCAAGTTTTAGGTCCTCTGGGTTTAGGCCTTATATATATATATATATGGAGTTAGGACTCATGGTCATGTAGACCGCTGATTCATAACATCTCTTTCACGGCCAAAGAACGTAATCCTCGTTTTTAGTAGAGGAGTGCAGCGCAGCACTGAGTGGTCTACATTCCTTTTTGACGCATAAGGCTGACTGGCGCACAAACTTGTACGGGGGATCCTCCTCAACAGTTCCTGCTCGCAGAGCACAGCCAGAACAGTTGAGGATATACGATGGTATCCATATATATAAATTACACCAAACATCACCAAACATAAGTATATATCTTGCCCCGTATTTATCTATACCTTTGTAGAAACAATGTCAGGAATACCATGTTGATGATGCGGAGTCTCTTCTCAGAGCGCTCGGGCTGCAATGTTACAACCCCCCCTCTGAGGGTGTAGATTCCCTGGTCTTCTGGGGCCAGGGCTTCTGGGACCCCCCAACATGTCACAGCCGCCAAAGGTCCAAACCGAAATCCGAAAGCCTCCTAAACCCTAAACCCCTAAACCCTAAGGGCGCGTCTTGCCTTAGCAGCTTTGGAGGGACCCCGACCGAGGCATTCCATGCGAAGGCCCTGAAAAGTTAGGCATGGAAGCCCCAAATAAAGGCTCTTCGGTTTAGGGTTTAGGGCTTAAGGTTTAGGGCTTGGGTTTAGGATTTAGGATTTAGGTTTTAGGGCTTAGGGCTTAGGGTTTAGGATTTAGGGTTTAGGGCTTAGGGTTTAGGGCTTGGGTTTAGGATATAGGATTTAGGTTTTAGGGCTTAGGGCTTAGGGTTTAGGATTTAGGGTGTAGGGCTTAGGGTTTAGGGTTTAGGGCTTAGGGTTTAGGGTTTACAAGGTCCCGGGCGTTTCGGTGTTCAGCAAGGGTATATGCAAGCTTTCTGGTATCTTTGTGATGTTTTGCTAGGGTGTTGAAGGCATCTGCAAGCTTCAGGATTGATGATGTACGCATGTAACATAGTCCTTTACCAGGTTCCCCCAGTAGACTCATAAAGAGGAGGACAATGATGATGTGGCTTTTCTATGTGCTTTCTCTGAGGCTTCCACAAGTTGCCGAGGCCTGTCGATCCCTGGAACTTGAGCCCTACACCCTCTAAGCCCTAACCCCGAAGCTTAGGGTTTAGGATCTTTAGGGTGTTTAGGCCTAAAGATCCTATAGACCCTAAATCTTGAAGATCCTATAGACCCTAGGCCCTACAGATCCTAAAGATCCTAAATCCTATGCCCTGTAGATTTGAAACCCTAAGCCCTGTAGATCCTCGACCCTATAGTCTATAAGGCTTCACCCCAAATAAACATTTGTATGCATGCACATTAAAAAAAATCATAATAAAGAACCCGAAAAAGGTAGGTTCTTTAGGGTCCAGGTAGGCCTTCTAAACCCTATAAACCCCATCCTATAAACCCTAAACCCCATAAATCCCTAAACCCTATACAACCTAAAGTCTATAAGGCTTCACACATCCCGAAGTCCAGAACCCAGAACCTGGGTCCATTTTGGGTCCCGCGGAGAGGTGGCACAGCTCCTCGCTTCTGCTGTGTTTGGCGCGGGGACCTGGAAGCCAGAGCTTTTCCAAACGCTTCAAAGCTCAAGACGGACATCATATTCAAATAAATACATAAACAAACAAATAAAAAACATATATATATATCCTAAGACTCCAAATGGCCCAAAGCAGGTACCATTTGTAGACTTTGGACCCCAAAGTGCTCAAGAAGGACATCATACATAGGGTTTAGGGTCTAGGGTTTGGGGGTTTAAGGTTTGGGCTTTAGGGCTTAGGGTTTAATGAACGCTGAAGTTTACATGAATGAGCGATCCTGCTGTGTTGAAATGTATCTTGGGCTTTCCCATGTTTGGGACACTGCCATTTGCACCGCTTGTCAGGTTCAGCTCAAGTTCATGCTGGGGCCTTAAATAATTCAAAAGATTTTTGTCCGGGGGGGGGGGTACATTCTGGCATATATATATATATTACATTGCATATCATCACCTCGGCTGAAACATCAGCTCATACACCAACCCCATATCCAAGCCGCACCATACCCGGATCCTCAACCAATTTCATCGGAGGCCTGGAAAGGTGGGATGAAGGCCCCTCATACAAGGCCCTAAACCCCAAACCGAAGGACTCTCATAATCGGGAGAACCTCACCTACCGTCTTCCCACCCTTGGAGCCCTTTGATATAAGCCAACAATTGTCCGTAAGCTGGCGTAGGCACCGCATCTCCGGAGCAGACTGGAGCGGCTTTTTGCGCAGAGCTGTCTGTATTCTGTGACTGTCACTGGTCATGTGCGTCTAGTCGGCTTCAGGCCAGTCACGATCCCGTGGATGTTGAAAGTATTACTCCAGCAACCTTCCGAAACAGAGACTTTGAACCACCTCACCATATGAGGTAGCCTCTTGCATACGACGACCTCGCCCTTCGGAATTTGTCGATTGGAGGAAAATACCTCGTGCCACGCAGAGCCATCCTCAGAGCAGTAGATCTTGAACTTCGTGAAACTCAGCACTTCGTGGAGGAAGGAAAAACCTGGACTTTGAAGTACCCAGGGAGAAAAAAGCATAGACTTTTATTTTATAATGGTTCCTTTAAGGAACAGGTCCAACAAAAAAGTATTCAAGTATGGTACTCCAGAACCCAGAAACCCATGATGTACACAGAAGAGTGCGGCAGCATCCACATCACATAGTCCATGCAGCGGTTAATCGGCTCAACATTTGCAGCGTACGCTTCGAGCATGGATGGGCTTGCAGAGAGTGCACTGTCTGGACCAAGAACCATCGACACCCAGCAGCCCAAGAACGCTCCAGTCTTGCCAGACTTTTCCTTAACTGGGGTTTAGGTTTAGGGTTTAGGGCTACGTTTAGCTAGCAGAATCAAAGATGGGATTTGTCTGGGACTACGGTCCCAGAAAGTCAAAACTGGAGCCGTGAACCTCAAGCGCCCCAAAGCCGCACGACTCGACGACGCACTTCATAGTTAAAACTTACGGACCAATTAGGTTTCGAGGATAGACGAAGTTTCATGGTCTGTTTAGGTTTATACGACTTCTCGGTACCACCTACGCCCTATACGCCCTTAACCCTACATTCTGCGAGCTCGACTAAGCTTCATATCCTATAACCTATGCCCTCCATATTACACCCCCTAAGCCCCAGAAGCCCTGAACCCTAAATCCCCCTAAACCCTAAACCCCCCTAAATCACAAAAAAGGCCCTAAAATCCTAAGACGGAGCTTCATAGTCGAGCCATAGAGACTGCAGGACGTTGTTGCTGTGTTCCGGCGTGCGCCGCCATGGACGATTCAATCGCTCCTGAGGTCGACGAGGCGTCTTGGGATTAAGGGGCTTTGGGGTTTAGGGATTTAGGATTTAGGGATTAGGGTTTGGGGTTTAGAAATTTAGGATTGAGGGTTTGGGGTTTAGGGATTTAGGATTTAGGGATTAGGG